TTCATGGTGAGTTCGTCGCGGGCGATTGAACACAACCGTGTGGATTATAACAGCGAAATGGTTACAACGTATTTTTAAGATTTAAAAAAACTTTATTTTACCAGGTAAGGTCCATTGAGCTATATAGCTCTTTTTCAGAAGCTACCTGGCCACAAATAATAGCTCAACAAAGTGGCTTATGTGGAAATGTATAGCAGACAAATACCCTAAACGCATGTTTCTAAATGTGGAGGGAAAATTCTGAGGACCCGGAGAAAAAAACCAACGCGGCCACGGGGAAAAGATGCAAACTCCAAATATCCAGCAGGCGTCAGGGTCGGGATCGAATCCACGACCTCCTGTATATCAGGCGAGGTAGTTAACATCTCGCCACCGTGGCGCCCTGACATGGTCCTAGTGATAGCGTGTTCGCCACTTGTGGCAGATTCGAATCGCGCGGCCGCCCCGATGATTACTGCGGGTGTAATGATCACAGTGGAGTACTTGGCGCCGTTTGCTTCACGTTGGACGCTAAAGATCCGTTGACGTCATTTGCAAGAGGAGGCCTGGTGTGTGCCGGCGTCAGAGTCCTAATTTTCCAAATTCGAGAATGACACCGCAAATTACTCCAGTTGGATTATGCATAGCTGCAATCACCGCCCCTGACTAGTAGGCTCATGCCTCAGGTCACTCTTTCAAATTAGACTAATTATCGTCTCCTGAGTTCTCACCTAGTTAAACAAAATTCACTTTATTTTTAATGGACTTCAAACGACGTTGATAATAGTATAGTTTTGGCACATTTAGGTGGTGTGCTAACAACTTCAATACAACAATGCCAGTGGATGACTCTTCCCTGTAGTAGTAACAATAATACTAAAGCGTAATGCTGTTTATCCAGAAAAGCTTCACAGAGTCGCAAGACACGTGCTCAGGATGGTCTTCCTTCATCAGGATGCTTGACAAATTACATTCATGAGCATTTTTGGAGGAAACAGGAGTACACGGAGAATCCCACCACACTCTGGATGATACAACTCAAAGTTCCACACAAATAGATTTAGGAATCTACGTCTCGACAACCATCTCGCGGCCACCTGGCGTTACGAAAGTCAGCAATGTTCGTTTAATGTACCACGCCCTGGTTGACCACAACATTCGTCCATTGGGGTTATTTGTTTGACCGTTGTCCATCACGTGAGTGGCCTGTGCTGATTGGTGAAATGGATGTGGGGAGGGGTTGGTGGTGGCGGCAGGACCAGTTCAGATATAAATTGCCACGTATGTTGACCGTGACCGATAACAAACCTCATTTGGAACAGTTCATAGCAGCTGCGCCCACCACTCCCAATCCATTAATTCGTTATTACCATCTACAACGCCGCGCTTATATTTCCCAATAGGGGGCCGTCCATAAATGACGTCACGCACCTGGGGGGGGGGGGGGTCAGACATTTGTGACGATGTGTGACGAGAGGGGGTTGAGAAATGTGACGTCACATCAAAATGCGCAACTTTAAATAAATATAGACAACACGTTCTACTTAATTAAATAGACTTTTAATAAATGTTTTCTCCTACAACATCAGAGTGTAGCGCCACATTTAATACGCAATACAATGACATTAGTTTAAAGCGATTTTAAGCATGTTTTAGATTTTTTTGGTGGGGGGGGCAGAGCTTTGTGACGTCATATTTGAGGGAGGTCTGACTTTTTGTGACGCCGTGTGACGAGGGGGGGGGGCGGTAAAAAATCGTCCAAAATCGCGTGACGTCATTTATGGACGGCCCCTAAGTAAGTGCATGCTACGCGATCAGCTCGAATGAAATCACCGCGTGCGACACCACCACGCCCTAGTTTCAAGTGATCGGGCGGAAACGGCGGAGACATCGCGGACAGGATGGGGAGGTGAATCATTTGAGATGAAAAAAACACGCGCGCAGAGAAATTCAGTCTCTCTGCACGTTGCAACCCTCCCTCTGCTCCACGCCCACGAACCTCAAGACAACAGCAGCAATTGTCTCCGTTTTGACAGACACGATTGCCTTAAGGTGTTATGCAGTTCAAGGTTGCCTCTGTAATTTGTCACGCTCAGTGCACGATCTAATATCCACTGCTGGATTAAGGCCCCCAAACCGTTGCGAACATCGCACCGTCCCGAGAAACAGCGATGCGTCAAGCTCCGTCTCTCGCGGGCATGTTGCTCGTCCTTTGACTGCCACTCCATCAAGGCCGTAGCCATGGAGTCAACATTGGGGGGGGGGACCAAATCTTCCAGGGTGTCTGGGGGTCCCAACCCAGAAAAATATCTACATTTGAAAACTAATTTCCTGCCTAAAATATTTAAAAAATTCACTAACACATGGGATGGACTTTTTCTTTATTTTTTACAATAATGTCTAATAGTGTATTGTATTACATTGCTCTGTTTTGACTTTTTTTACCATTTCTAGTTTCATTGTATGTAATTGCAGAGATTAGGGATTAATAAAGTACAACCATAACCACAATCATATAAACAGAAATCTGTGCATTGATTTATATGAAGACAAGTCCAGATATTGTGGCCAAGGTTTAGTAAATTGTTGTTTTTATTTACATAGCATAGCAATTATTTTATACTCTTTGGTTCTTTGGGTAAAGTCACGTAGGTATAAAATATAATAAATCACGACGTTTCAGGCGCAACACAAGCGTCCGTCATCAGGTGGGAAAGCATGGTTTGCTGCTGATGCTGACTTTTTAAAACAGTCTGCGGACGCCTGTGTGTGGATTCCTGCAGTCACGAAAGCTTCAAATCAGCAACAATTTTTTATAGCAATATATTTGGGGGGGGGGGGGACATTTTGAGCATATTTGAATATTGGGGGGGGGGGGGGGGGTGGATATGTGTGTCCCCCAATATATATTATAATTACGGCCTTGCACTCCATCGTTCGTCTCGACCACCGGCCATCATCCCTTGACTATTATGTAACGCGTTTACGTAAAACTACGCGTGGACTATGAAGGTACTTTTTTTTTCTTCTTCTTCTTCCGAACTTGGTTCACTGTTTCGCAATTGGCCAACCGTGGTACTGTGCTCACGGCGTCTGTACATGAATCACCGCCTTCCGCTACGGGCAGGTGAGTGCACAGGTGAGGTACGTACTGCATACTGGACTTCTTTCGCACCGTACGCAGCCAACCGTGCTCATCTGCAAACGTCTACGCCTTCTCCCCCTGGGGGGCGGGGGGGGCACAGGGGGAGGGGTGGAGTCTGGAGCTCTTCCTCGGGACTTTTGCGCAACCACCGAGGGCTGAGTAACCCCTGGCCAACACCTCCATGGGCAGGGCCCCCGGATCCTGTCGGCCTGGCGTCTTACGCAAGGGCACCGGGGTCACTCGGTCATGTGGGGGCGCGGGGGGGGGGCATGGGGTGTGACAGGGATACGGGTTCAGGAGGATCAACGGTAGCCCGAAAGCTTGAGTAAAGTAAGCTAAAGCAAAGCGCCCCAGGTAGCTCAAGAGGATTCGCGTCAAATAGCTCAACATCATATCCTACGAAGCAGAATTAATATGAACAAAATAACGAATTCATCTAATCTCTGTCTTCTCTGTAGCTCCCGTTTCTCGTCTAACATTTGTGTAAGGGGCCGTCCGTAAATGACGTCACGTACCTGGGGGGGGGGGGGTCAGACATTTGTGACGATGTGTGACGAGGGGGGGGGGCTTGAGAAATGTGACGTCACATCAATATGCGTAACTTTAAATAAATATAGACACGTTCTACTTAATTAAACAGACTTTTTAATAAATGTTTTCTCCTACATCAGAGTACAGCGCCACATTAAATACGCCCTACAATGACAATAGTTTAAAGCGATTTGAAGCATGTTTTATTTGGGGGGGGCAGAGCTTTGTGACGTCATATTTGAGGGGGGAGGGAGGTTGGCAAAAATCGTCCAAAATCGCGTGACGTCATTTATGGACGGCCCCTAAACAATAGATTTCCGCTCACGGCCAACACCCAGTGACGATTATCTGAACCGGTCCCGAGGCTCCCCTAGGTCGACTCGGCCTCAAATGAGTACCTGGTGCACACCTCCGATTAGCACGGTTGGCTACGTACGGTGCGAAAGAAGTTCAGCACACATTTCCATTTCGTGTGAACACCTCTTCTGTTTGTTTACCCTTTACTGTTTACTCTTTAGTTTAAAATGATTCATGCTCGTTTAGTGCCCTTCCCCTATCGTTTTTAGCATTCCACCCACCATAACTTCCGAGGAGATGGAGTGATGAAATGAGTTTCGATTTAAAGCTGTCGTGACTGCAGGGATTCATCTTCTTGGTTCTTTCGGTAAAGTCACGTAGAATGGAAATAATAAAATAATAAAAATAAAACATAATAAAATAATTCTCACGACGTCTGAATGACTCTGTCTTCTTGACAGACCTGTTCTCCACCTGAGGCCGGCTGCTTGCGTTGTGGCCGAAACGTCGTGAGAATTATTTTATTATGTTTTATTTTTATTATTTTATTATTTCCCTTCTACGTGACTTTACCGAAAGAACCAAGAAGATGATGAAATGAGCTCGTGTGTGGGTGCTGCGTGGATTGCTACAATGACAGGATCTATAGAGTTGGTGGCGGCTTAGAGAGGCATTCATCCAGCAGTGGATAGACCATTGATAATGGGTAAGAAGTGTGACTCATGAGTGACACGTCTAACTAAAGCGTTGTTCATGTCGAACCATCGTTCGGAGAGTGACGTGATGGCAAACCTCCCCCCACCTCACACAGACACTTTCAACCCTACTTGTAATGTATCTATGCATGTTGAACTTCTTTCGCACCGTACGTAGCCAACCGTGCTCGTCCGGGGTGCGGGGGAAGGTCAACAAAAACAGTTGATACATTTTGATTTAAAGCTTTCATGACTGCAGGGATTCATCTTCTTGGTTCTTTCGGTAAAGTCACGTAGAAGGGAAATAATAAAAGAATAAATTATATATTAGATTATTTTATTATGTTTTATTTTTATTATTTCCCTTCTAGTTGATACATTCACAAAAGCACCAGAACAAGCTTTTGCGCCTGACATTTATTCCTCAAATCTCAGGATAATGTTTCCATCCTCGCAATCCACCCTTTGCGCGAGCAAGCGGCGGTTGAGCGTGCGGTGGATGGATCGAGCAGTCGGGCGGGCGGTTGACTGAGCGAGCGACCGGCCTGGGAGAGCTTCCTCCGCTTCCGTCACTGCTCCTGGAAGAGCGCGACGGGGAGGGCGGCGCGCCCCGGGTAGCTGCTCTGCGTGCCGGCCGAGCGCACGCTCTCGGCCGCGATGTGGCACGCGCGCCGGGCCGCCTCCGCCAGCGGGAGGCCCGGGAGACGCGCCTGGAAGAACGCGAGCGAGCCCACGAAGCTGTCTCCGGCTCCCTGGGATGCGACGGCGACGATGATGATGATGATGGGAGAAAGGGGGATCATGATGATGATGGTAACGATGATGATGGGAGACGGGGGATGATGATGATGATGGAGATGATGATGGGAGAAGGGGGATGATGATGGTGGGGTGGCGGAAGAGGAGATGTGAAGGAGAGAGTCAAACAAAGTCAGTCGCAGTTAACGCCAGGGGTCTCTGGAGCATCAAACAATTCGCGTGTCTCTTTCTTTGTATTTACAATCTAAATGGTCCCTGACCAAATCGCCTGGAATTCTCCCGATCTCCTCAGATCTCAGGGGCTAAGCAGGGTTGAGCCTGCACAGTGCTTGGATGGATCAGCACCATACATAAGGCAGGTGTTTCCAGCAACCGCGTCCGATACACATTTAAGGCTGAGCGGAACTCGGGGGAGGCCCAGGACCGATTCAAACATTCGCCACTTGTTGATCGTGTGCGGGAATTGAAGTCAGGTCGCCACGCTAGCACCACAGTGCGCTAACCACTGCGCCACCGCTCCAAATCCAGTGGCAGTGATAAAGACGGGTGAGAGTGAGCGCGCGAGCGTGCGAGCAACAGCAGCATCCGGCTCACCGTGGTGTCCACAGCGGTGACGCTGGGCGAGGGGACATGGCGAGGAGATGGATCGGATCGACTCGCGACCACCGCTCCACGGCACCCCAACGTGATGACGACGGCGCCGCAGCCTCGCTCGAGCAGCAGCGTGGCGGCACGGCCCGCCTCCTCCACTCCGCTCACCACCACGCCCGTCAGCAGCTCTGCCTGCCACCCCCCACCAACAACAACAACAGCAGCAGGTTCGGTTGCCCCCCACCACCAACAACAACAACAGTAGCAGCAGCAGGTTCGGCTGCCCCCCACCAACAACAACAACAGTAGCAGCAGGTCCGTCTGCCCCCCACCACCAACAACAACAGTAACAGCAGGTCCGTCTGCCCCCCACCACCAACAACAACAGTAGCAGCAGGTCCGTCTGCCCCCCACCACCAACAACAACAGTAGCAGCAGGTCCGGCTGCCCCCCACCAACAACAACAACAGTAGCAGCAGGTCCGGCTGCCCCCCACCAACAACAACAACAGTAGCAGCAGGTCCGTCTGCCCCCCAACCAACAACAACAACAGTAGCAGCAGCTCCGTCTGCCCCCCACCAACAACAACAACAGCAGTAGCAGCAGGTCCGTCTGCCCCCCACCAACAACAACAACAGCAGCAGCAGGTCCGTCTGCCCCCCACCAACAATAACAACAGCAGCAGCAGGTCCGTCTGCCCCCCACCAACAACAACAACAGTTGCAGCAGGTCCGTCTGCCCCCCACCAACAACAACAACAGTAGCAGCAGGTCCGTCTGCCCCCCACCACCAACAACAACAACAGTAGCAGCAGGTCCGTCTGCCCCCCAACCAACAACAACAACAACAGTAGCAGCTCCGACTGGCCCCGACCAACCACAGCAGCGAGCAGCGGCTCCGGCTGCCCCCCACTAACAACAAAAGCAACAGCTTCAGCTACCCCCACCAACAACAGCAGCAGCAACAGCTGCCGTTCGCCACCAAGTGGCGGTGACGTCGCCACGTTGTTCGTGCCAGCGTAGGTGCACGTTGAGGCCACGTGAAGCGTGGAAGGCTCGCTGCTGGCAGGAGGTCACAGGACACCCAGGCGCCATAGGTTGACTAACTTGAGATGAATGGAAGATGCACCACCTGTGCTCCCCACTGTGCCAACTTGCATTTATCCGCCCGGCGCTTCGGTCGGTGTTGTGAGCATCGCTCTTTTACTCTCTGCTGTTGTTGGAGGGCGACTGCCTCCAACTGGCCAGTAGCATCCTTCACGAGCCTCCTCCCCAGAGGCCGATTTTGACACCGTTGATACCGGTCATCGGCAAGTTCACTCAGCTACACATCCTTCTGTACGGCATTAGTTCATCTCCTCTCTAGCCCATGCCGTGTCCATTTAGCGCCCTCTATCAGGCCAAACAAAAGCTGTTTGGGCATGCGGTGGCGGAGCATGTGGGCTACATGCCCCAGCCAACGCAGCCTCGCCTGCACCCCCACACCGGCCCGATATTAGTTTTTATAATTGTGAGTAGTTGTGGTGAACTGGGGAGCCCTACATTCAACAGTGAATTGACCACTCCAATTGTCTACATTCCCCAGTTCCTATATTCCCTAGCACCTCTAATTAGCACGGTTGGCTACGTACGGTGCGAAAGAAGTTCAACACACAGACAACGTACATAACCTTGCCCAAATCAAGACACGTGTCTTGTCATTTCATTAGTGACCCCAAGCGCCGGTCACAGGACTTCTGGATTGTACTCAGCAACCAGAATATAAACAAGTAGTATTAAATTTCGATTTAAAGCTTTCGTGACTGCAGGGATTCATCTTCTTGGTTCTTTCAGTAAAGTCACGTAGAAGGGAAATGATAAAATAATACAAATAAAACATAATAAAATAATTCTCACGACATTTTGGCCACAACGCAAGCAGCCGTCCTCAGGTGAAGAACAGGTCTGTTGGAAAGACAGACCTGTGAGAATTATTTTATTACGTTTTATTTTTATTATTTTATCATTTCCCTTCTACGTGACTTTACCGAAAGAACCAAGAAGAAGTAGTATTAAATACATAAGCAGTAAACACGTTGGGGGGGGGGGGCACTGTCCCTTGCTACCCCGTGTATTCCCACGCCAATGAGCAGGTGGCTCAGCCATAGTTTGGGAGAGTTCAAATCCCGGTTGGGGGTGGAGTTGTCCCATCATTCCTCCGGGGTCATTGTGGGGAAGTGAGCAGCGGTTCTCCTACGGAGTGACTCTCCGCCACCATAGCAATGTGAAATTTCCATCGCCGGCTCAGGGGTGTAAACGGGAGATGAGCAGCAATGCCTCAATGCTTATTCAAGGGTTGGGTGGGTGGGGGTGGGGGGCGTCACAAACCTCGGTCTCGTTTGGGCAGAAGATGTCAGACAGCTCGTAGAGCTCCGGGTCCAGGTCCGGCACGGCGGGCGCGGGGTTCAGGATGGTCCTCACTGCCGGCACCACGGACAGCAGCGGCGGGGCGGAACAGCGGAGTGAGGTCACAGTGGGACGGACGGTCCAGCACATTGCAACATCGTCAGCCCCACCCAGCCACACGCGCGACTCTCCCAGTCACTAACGCGCATCGTGCGTGTGTGTGTGTGTGATTGTCCCACAACGCCTGGAGCGTGGTGGTGGTGGCGGTGGCGCAGCGGTCTGTGCGCTGTGCTACGAACCAGGCGACCCCGGGTTCGGTTTCCGCTCACGGCCATCAACACCTGTGACCAATATCCGAACTGGTCCTGGGCCTCTCCTAGGTCCACTCAGCCTCAACTCAGTACCTTGTGCAGTGTGTAAACATCAGCACTGGGGCGATAAGGTGGCCGGATGTGGTGCCAACCACCCACCCTCTCGTGTGTCGTGCTGGCCAACATAGGTGCTAATGAACAGCACTTGCCCCAATAGTATGTTAAGGTTATATCGGTGATATTTGTATTTTGTGGCATTGGTAATGGTGCTTAGAATGACGGTGGTAGTGCTAATGATGGTGAGGTTAATAATAATTGTGGTGTTGGTGGTGGTCATCATCGCCAACCTCATCCATCAAAACGGGACGTGAGTTACAGGGAGGAGCAGGAATGCACGATGATGCACGGGGCGGTGTAGGCTTGTGCAGTGACTCAGCAGACACGGGCAGCATCTAAAGTGCACGCCATTTAAGTATTTAATTCCATTACTTTTGATGAGGAACCTCAGACACCTTCCAGGTACGCGTGATGAGTTGCGGCGTGGTGTGGGTCCGTGCGGTGAGTTGTGGCGAGGTGCCGGTGAGGTGCGTCCGTGCGGTGAGTTGTGGTGAGGTGTGCACGTGCGGTGAGTTGTGGCGAGGTGCCGGTGAGGTGCGTCCGTGCGGTGAGTTGTGGTGAGGTGCGCACGTGCGGTGAGTTGTGGCGAGGTGCCGGTGAGGTGCGTCCGTGCGGTGAGTTGTGGTGAGGTGTGCACGTGCGGTGAGTTGTGGCGAGGTGCCGGTGAGGTGCGCACATGCGGTGAGTTGTGGCGAGGTGCGCACGTGCGGTGAGTTGTGGCGAGGTGTGGTGAGGTGCACACGTGCGGTGAGTTGTGGCGAGGTGCCGGTGAGGTGCGCACGTGCGGGCGCCGCTCACCGCCGTGCTGGCGGGCGAGGCGCAGCGCCTGCGCCGTGGTCTCGGGCCGCACCTCGAGCTGCGCCAGCACGACGCGAGCGCCCGCGATGGCCGCCCGCGCGAGCGCAACGTCCTCGGGGCCCAGGGACAGGTTCGCTCCGGGCACGATGACGATCGCGTTCCTCCCTGACACGTGACGCAGAGACGGGCGGTATCCCCCACCAAATTCCAAATATGTTGCCCCCATTACAAATTGCGGTTTGTGATCGGTAGCCGAGTATCCCGCACCTACGACTGGCACGGTTGGCGACGTATGGTGCGAAAGAAGTTCAAGTTACACGTGTAATTAGAATATGTAGTTTCATTACAGCTGTAATTTGTAATTGGAATCCAACTGGTAACATGCATCTCAATTACAAATTAGTCCAGTAATTTGGGTTTCTAAATCTGATTACGCAAATTAATTCACCGTATGTTGCCCAGCAATGACGGCCGAGGGGGGGGGGGCACGTGGACATTTGAACAAGAGGCAGGGAGAGGGGCAGGGTGGCAGGCGCTACTCTACCTCAATAGACTTCATGGAACCCCTTGGCGACTTCTGACTTCGTTTTTTTTATTATCGTCTGCCACGATCAATCCACCGCTGGCGCATTCGTGTCTCCCGTCGCCGTCCGGCACGGTTCTGCCGATGCGACGGAGAGCGACGAGCACCTGCAAGCGCGGCGATCTCATCGCTCCGTCTCCTTGGACGAATGTCCCCTCCTTGGACGCCTTCCCCTCCTTCGGCTGCCACCCCCGAAATAACGCGAAAGCTCAACGTGCCGGCACGATGAGACGCGTGAATTAACTCCGGCGTTCCCGTCGGGTTTGGCCAACCAGTCTTTAGCACTTGCCCAACTAGCTCTGATGCAAACCAGGCCCAAAATTTTTTCTAATTCGATTAAAAAAAAACTCAATATTTCAAGAGCGGCAATGCATGCGAATACGAGATGGTGGTCCTTAACAAATGACGTCACCAAGCAGTTCTTGAAGAACCACGTGCGGCTCCTGAGCCGCGGGTTGCGCGACTTTTTGTCGACTTTCCAAAAAGCTCTAAAACGCATTGCAACGGAAACAGCGAACATCTGTCAGCGACGCAAACACCGGCACTTTTTAGTTTTATATCTATGTATATATATGGGAAGCAGCCTGCGGGCACTTGCGGAGAGGCGACGCGGGCGCACCTCACCTTCATCGTCCACCGTGATGGGAGCCACGCCGGTGGCCGCCTCGGAAACTTGCCCCACGTAATCTGTGTGCTCGCGCCGCACACAGGAAGAGACACACAGCCTCCCGCTGAGCAACGCGAAGCCACGGAGACTACACAGCGAGCCGGTGCTGTTGGCGAGCGGCTGTGATGTACGTCATCGGAAATTATTACGTACGTGTACGTCATCAGAACGGATTATATATATATTTTACTTTATCAGTACGTCTTCAGGTCGGATAGACATACCGAGGCTCCCACAAGGCCATGCCAGGAGAGCGTGGGGCACGGTTTGGCGACAGCCAATACAGAGATTGGTCGTGTTGCTATGGTAATCAGTGGTGAGTACAATGTCTTTAAAAACGATGGCGATACTACGACTCTGATTTAAAATTGACGCTGAACCGCTTGCGTGTTCTGAAATTCTGCCACTCGCAGAACGGGAGAGGGTCAAGGTTGGCAGGGTGCACATGAGGGGCTGGCGTGGCCAATGGCACCACGCACGGTCGACCTCCTGCCTCCGCAGCGCTGTTTAACAAGTACTTATTTAAGGCTGAGTCGACCTAGGGGAGGCCAAAAGTTAAAGCCTTCAGATAGCATAGCCACGCACGGGAATTGAACCTCGGGTATGTATGTAGGGCAGAAAGCAAACAACTGCGCCATCACTCTACACACAAAGGCAAATATCCCCCATGTAGTCTTCAACAGGCTTTTGGTTCAAGTGCTTTACACGAGTAACTATGAAGGCAGACACGGCACACGAGGGGCTAGGTAGCCAGCACCACGCCCGACCACCTTTGCCATTTAAATGGTGGTGTTTATACACCACACCAGGTAGTCATTGATGGCTGAGTCGACATAGAGGAGGCCCAGCACCGATTCAGATATTTGTCTCTGATATTGATACCTAGCCATGAGCAGGAATCAAACTCGGTTAGCCGGGTTCGTAGCGCAGTGTGCACAAAAGACAAATATCCCCTATATAGCCTGTAACAGACTGTTAGGGCAAGTGCTGTTAGCGAGCACCTATGAAGGCCGGCACGGCACACGAGGGGGTGGGTGGCCAGCATCACACCAGACCACCTTTGTCTCCCCAGTGCCGATGTTTACACACCGCACCAGGTACTCATTTGAGGATGAGTCGACCTAGGTGAGGCCCAAGACCGGTTGAGATAATCGTCACTTGGTGTTGGCCGTGAGCGGGGAATCGAACCCGGATCGCCGGGTTCACAGCGCGGCGCGCTAACCGCTACACCACCGCTCCCCACAATTGCACAATCACACACACCCAAGAAATCAACACAAAGTATTGCGTTGATGCCACCACACCTCGACACATCACTTGCTCCCCGCTGCCAGAACCCTTGGCTTTTGCAGTGTCAGCGAGAGTGCGGAGGCGGTGCAATTGCACCGGGAGCCATGGGCCAGAGTAGACCAGGTGCGTGGCTACGAATAGTGCGGAAGGAATCGTGTAGGTGGGGATCCCGCCGCCCCCCCCCCCCCTCCCCCCATTTCATTCCTCGCACTGGGACCCACGCCGTCCACGCTATGGCACCACCGGGTCTTCACACACCTATGTTCACTCCGTTATCCTTGAAATTCTGAATGTAGTTGTCTCCGAATGTGTCCTTTCCGACCTGCGCGCCGCAGGGTGGAGTGGAAAAGAGGACGAGGCAGGAGAGGGGTGGGTGGGGGGAGAGAGAGAGGACGTGAGCTGGCTCGGCCCCAACTACTGGCTCAGCTCCTGACTTCTGGCTCAGCTCCTGACTCCCTGCTTGGCCCTGACTCCTGGATCATCCCTTGACTCCTGGATCATCCCTTGACTCCTGGCTCAGCTCCTGACTTCTGGCTCAGCTCCTGACTCCCTGCTTGGCCCTGACTCCTGGATCATCCCTTGACTCCTGGCTTGGGCAGTCGCGCAACTACCGAGTGTGCACGCGGTGCAATTGCACCGGGGCTCCCCGTGGGTCTGGGGGGGGGGGCTTGTTGGTGCCGGGGCTACGCAAAGTTGAACAGGGAGCCCCTTTTAAGTCCTTGCACCAGGGCCCTTGGCAACCGCGCTCCGCAACCGCTCTTGGGAAATGCGCGTTGCGCAAGTAACATTTTTCAGGCATATTGGAAGGTGACAGAGCAAGGTACAGTTGTAATATTTACATTTCAAGTTATGTAACAGGGAGAAGACTACAGGGCTTGTATGTTTAGCTTTAGTCTGCAGCCTTTTGTCAATTGACGGCAGGATGACGGCCTCCACACTCCGTGCCAATTCATGAGGGTTTGACCATATTGCAGCATTCACATCTATTATGTACAATTTGATAATAATTGAGTCTCACACACACACTTCGATGCGTGTATCGTGGGCCTAAGAATCGGCTTAATTCAACAAATCAATGCTTCGTTATTATTATTACGGCAAATGTCAATAGTTGATGTGAACCTTGCAGCCACTACCAAATCTACATCATCATCATCATCTGCCATGGTCAATCCACTGCTGGATGAAGGCCTCCCCAAGCCACTTTGTCCCGGGGTTCAACACTTTAGCCGAGATGAAAGAGACAGGAGACAACAACAGTGGCACTATGGTTGCCACCTGTCTCGAGAATTAGCATCTGTGGTCTGGTGGCAGCAATCGATTTGTGCCCAGAAGTGGTGCTGGCATTGCGTTGAACTTTATTGCGGGTAGCGCAGTGCACAATGTTGTTTCGATAACAGACCGAGCGCCGACTTGAGAAACACGTCTTGGTTTTGTCTGCGGTGGTACGGGTGGTGTGACTCCAGGTGGTGACCAGGTGGGATTCATCGCTTCCTGCCGACGACACCTGCCAGCAGTGTGTGGCAGCAGCTCCAGAGACAGAGGAGAGGCTCAACACGTGGCACGACCGAGGGCCACGCTCGCATTCATCTAATCTCAACTAAACCAATCTTAAATTCCGATTTAAAGCTTTTGTGACTGCAGGGCTATCACCTGAGGACGGCTGCTTGCGTTGTGGCCGAAACGTCGTGAGAATTGTATTTTATTATGTTTTATTTTTATTATTTTATTATTTCCCTTCTACGTGATTTTACCGAAAGAACCAAGAAGATAAACCAATCTTGATTTGAAGCTTTCGTGACTGCAGGAATCCATACTCTTTGGTTCTTTCGGTAAAGTCACGTAGGCAGAAATAAAATAAATCACGACGTTTCGAACGCAACACAAGTGTTCGTCTTCAGGTGAAAGTCGTCTGCTGCTCGCAGCAGACATCGCAGCTATCACGATTTTCACCTGAAGACGAACGCTTGTGTTGCGTTCGAAACGTCGTGATTTATTTTATTTTATTTCTAAACTAAACCATCAAACAATGTTTATTTTGCCAGGTAAGGTCAACTGAGCTATGCAACTCCTTTTCAGAAGCGACCTGGCAGCAAATGATAGCTCTTACGAAGTGTCTCATCGTGTGTAAGTGTACAGCAGCCAAATACTTGAAACGCATGTTGATTTTAAATGTGGAGGGTAAATCCGGAGACCCCGGAGAAAAATCCACGCGACCACCACGGGGAGAGAGAGAGAGACACTCAAACTCCAAATATACAGCAGGCGTCAGGGGTCGGGATCAAACCCGCGACCTCCTGCACACCAGGCGAGGTAGTGAACATCTCGCCACCGCAGCGCCGCATTGGCAGAACAGAGTGAACCGCTGGTGACCTCGTGGGCGTGCGGCCCTGTACCTTGGCCACCATGGCCGTGCTGGCGCCGAGCCGTGCGGCCTGCACGCACTGGTTGGCGCCCTTGCCCCCGAAGCCCACGGCGAAGCGGTGTCCGTGAACCGTCTCCCCGACCCGCGGCAGCCGCGGGGCGTAGCTGGGCAAGGGGCAGCAGAAGGGGCGTGGGGTTTGCATGGGATCGTTGGGTGTTCAAAGCAGAAGGGCACAGCGTGTCTATAGAGTGTGGTGTCAACAAGTGGGGTTATAACGAAGGTCTCGACAAAACATTTTTATTTAGATTTAAAGCTTTCGTGACTGCAGGGATTCATCTTCTTGGTTCTTTTGGTAAAGTCACGTAGAAGGGAAATAATAAAATAATAAAAATAAAACATAATAATACACGACGTTTCGGCTACAACGCAAGCAGCTGCTTGCGTTGTAGCCAAAACGTCGTGAGAATTATTTTATTATGTTATATTTTTTTTATTTTATTATTTCCCTTCTACGTGACTTTACCGAAAGAACCAAGAAAAAGATAATTTTACTAAAGAACATAACACAAGGAACCAGGAAACTGTGATTACAGATGTTTGGTCAATAATCTTCAATCACATTTACAGTGTTATTTATGTATCCATTGAGGCATTATCGAGTCTCAATACTGTTTTTTTTTCTGGAGGGTCCTGCCACAATGGAATGTTGAGCCAATTGTCATGTGGGATTAAAAGAAACCCATTCATCTAAGAGGATGATGACACAAAGATTCTTATAAAATTGGCTCATAAACCCACTTGCTGTACTGCAGTTGTCCTGGCCAAATCGTGGCTTATTTGGTTCGGAAGTTCAAGACAAATCTCTCGGTGATTCGCCAACCCTTGACCCCAAAAGCACTGGCTCACAGCAAGGCCGTAGCCATGGAGTCAACATTGGGGGGGGGACCAAATCTTCCAGGGGGTCTGGGTTCCCCCCCCCCCCCCCCCAGAAAAAAATCTCAATATGAAAACTCATTTCCTGCCTAAACTATTTTAAAAATCACTAACACATAGGATGGACTTTTTATAATTTTTTTACAATAATGTCTAATAGTGTATAGTATTACATTGCTCTGTTTTTGCTATTTTTTTACCTTTTCTTGTTTCATTGTATATAATGTCAGAGATTAGGGATTAATAAAGTACAACCCGAACCACAATCATATACACATGAATCTATTTTATAGCGATATATTGAGCATACGGCCTTGATTCACAGGCAGGCACAGCCCCCACATGACCCGGCCAGGCCAATCACACAGCGACCAGCAAAGTTGAGTGCAGAGTTCATCGCGCGTAAGGCACAGGGCATAACACAGCTCCTCAACGCACAGCACTGACACGAAGACCAAAAAAACACTCAACACAATTGTCAATGACATTGTGGCCTTTTATGTAAAAGATCTATAATAGGTGACGATTCGGGCAATGGCCCCTTCTTCATGGCACGTGTCATTGACGAACGTGTTGATTTGTCGCTCGTTAGTTTTCAAAAAAATAAAAAAAAACGTCTGGTCGTGTGATGTCGTGCAGGGTCATCGGTTAAAACGATAAGTAAATCAAAGTCCGTCTCACCGTGAACACGGTCAATCTCGATCGAGAGCAGTGGTTTGTAAACCCTTTGCTGCAGCCTGTACCCACTTTGGATCACAACCGTTAAAAAATGATAATGTTAATACACACATCGGTTTGATAAAACAAAGTGGTTGGGTCTAACGGGCCCCGTGCTTAATTTGTCTTTTCGATTATTTACCTTCGAAAAAAAATCTGACGACGTCTCGCACCCCCAGAAAGAACATCTCGCACCCCCAAGGGGTGCGTGCACCCCAGGTTAAGAAGAACCACTGGTCTAGAGGTAAGGGAGAGGCAGCCTTAATTTGTTTGATATTTCACACCTCATCAGAACATATTACAAATCGCAGGGCACTAAACGCATCTAATCACAGTCGCAACGTGGAACACAAAGTACAGGGGGAGGGGGGCATCACAACACAGCCTATCGCACAGAACGCAAAAAACATCTCATGGCGATTACAAATGCAACAAAACACACAGGACGACACAGCTCATCACGTTGGGCAGCACAAAGTCAAGGGCACAACACTGCTCATCACAAATCACGCACGATGGGGAAAAAAAAGCACAGGCGGTGTATGACACCGCTCATCATAATAAGCGAGGAACAAAAAAATGCACAGGGAATAAACGCGGCTCCTCGCCATGCGCAAAGGGCTTTCCGCACCTCACCAGATCCGTCATGCATGAGCCCACCACGACGATCTCCGCAGGTGCAGAAGCCATGTCGACCCTCGCTCAGCGCGCCCGGGGTGTGGGGAGCCGCGGTCGAGCCGCGGTCGAGCAGCGAGAGGAGGAAGCGGCTCTCTGTGCGGGGTGAGAGGAGAGGAGCCACGGGGAGAGACAGGAGCCACGGGGAGAGAGATGAGACACAGGGAAAGAGATGAGCCACGGGGAGAGAGAGAAGACGAAGGGAGAGAGAGGAGCCACGGGGAGAGAAAGGAGCCACGGGGAGAGAGATGAGCCACGGGGAGAGAGAGAGGAGACGCAGGGAGAGAGATGAGCCACGGGGAGAGAGATGAGACACAGGGAGAGAGATGATACACAGAGAGAGAGATGAGACACAGAGAGAGATGAGCCACGGGGAGAGAGATGAGGCACAGGGAGAGAGAGATGAGCCACGGGGAGAGAGATGAGACACAGAGAGAGAGGGGAGACGCAGGGAGAGATAGGAGCCACAGGGAGAGACAGGAGCCACAGGGAGAGAGATGAGACAAAGGGAGAGAGATGAGCCACGGGGAGAGCGAGAAGACGAAGGGAGAGAGAGGAGCCACGGGGAGAGAAAGGAGCCACGGGGAGAGAGATGAGCCACGGGGAGAGAGAGAGGAGACGCAGGGAGAGAGATGAGCCACGGGGAGAGAGATGAGACACAGGGAGAGAGATGAGACACAGAGAGAGAGATGAGACACAGAGAGAGATGAGCCACGGGGAGAGAGATGAGGCACAGGGAGAGAGAGATGAGCCACGGGGAGAGAGATGAGACACAGAGAGAGAGAGGGGAGACGCAGGGAGAGATAGGAGCCACAGGGAGAGACAGGAGCCACAGGGAGAGAGATGAGACACAGGGAGAGAGATGAGCCACGGGGAGAGAGAGAAGACGAAGGGAGAGAGAGGAGCCACGGGGAGAGAGATGAGCCACGGGGAGAGAGAGAGGAGACGCAGGGAGAGAGATGAGCCACGGGGAGAGAGATGAGACACAGGGAGAGAGATGAGACACAGAGAGAGAGATGAGACACAGAGAGAGATGAGCCACGGGGAGAGAGATGAGGCACAGGGAGAGAGAGATGAGCCACGGGGAGAGAGATGAGACACAGAGAGAGAGGGGAGACGCAGGGTGAGATAGGAGCCACGGGGAGAAACGACTCACGGAGAACAGAGACGAATTACAGGGAACGAGATGGATCACTGGGAGAGAGATGAATCACTGGGAAAGAGAAGAGCAGAGAGCAAGGAGCCACAGTGGATTAAGAGATGCCACGGGAAGAGAGAGGAGCCACTGGAAGTGAAAACATTCGTCTGTCTCCCTCTCGGCCAGAGGTCACGCCTCTGTAGGGGGCAGAGTGCGCGGGGCGCGTCATTGACCACGCTCCCCACCCCCCAGGACACAATCTGTTGACACGAGAAGTATTGAACGGATTTGGTGCAGGGTGTGGTGAGTGAGAGGGCTGCTGCTACTCGTGGCTCGTCGTTTAGTTGGTTAGGGTTAGGAGTAGAGCTAATACGGTCCTTGTGATTGAACGGAGAGTTGGTTCGGGCTAAGGTCACAGCTTATACGAGTGGCTTGTTCGCTCGTTGATTAGTTGTATGAGTAGTACGCGTGACGTCTATGCTGTAGTAAGGTATAAAGGTCGAGATAGTGTTTGGTTGATTAGTCTGGTTAGGGTTAGTGAAGCGAGTAACTCTCAGTTGGATAGTTGGTTGGCGTCCTATCTCGTACTCGTGTTTGATTGGCTGACACCGCACTCAATCACAACCATCTGTAGACACCCGTGATCCCTTGTGAGCCCTGCGCCCTTCTGCTCTGAAGACACAACGATCCGAGCAAGTGTTTACATCGCGGTGTTAGCACCACTCGTGCTGTACACTGACAACTGAATTATGTTTCATTTTACCAGGTAAGGCCCTTTGAGCTGTTTAGCTATTTTGCAGAAACGACCGGGCAACAAATTATAGCTCAACAAAGCGGCTTAATATGTACTCTGTCTGAATGCACGTTGATTCTAAATGTGTGTGTTGGGTGGGGGGGTGCGGAGGGCCCGGAGAGAAATGCACGCGACCACGGGGAGACAGACACGCAAACTCCAAATATTCAGGCGCCAGAGTCGGGATCGAACCCACGACCTCCTGTATACCACGCGAGGTAGTTAACATCTCGCCACCGTGGCGCCTCGCGATGAGGGGGATACAGAGTGAGCGCTAAGGTGTTATCAGTACAAGGAGCTCGCGTCGTAGGAAGGGCAAGGAGGGTGCCCTAGGCGAGCCTTCCAACGGGTGCCACTGCCCTCGTGGGTAGTAGCCGAATACTCGGATGTGAGCAGTAGCGGCTCCAATGTTTAAGTGGGGTAGTCCCGGCGTCTCGGAAGAGATGGGAGGGGGCGGTGGATTGCCAATGGCTGACGATGATGATGTCGATGAGACTTGGCTGTTTATATGGATCGTAATTATCATCCGAATTTCCCTGTGACCAATGAATGGACGGAGGGCGAGGGGGGGGGAGAGTGAGTCGGGATGAGTTAGAGGAAGAATAGGGAGTCTAGAGGGAGGTAGGGTGTGGGAAGGTGGGGAGAGTTCAAGGAGGGAGTACGTTGGGACAGCGTGCGTGAGTGAATGGAGGTGAAGAAGTGATGGAAGGAAATGGAATCATGGATATCGGGAGAACGGACGGATGTAAAGAATGAACACAGACGGAGGGGGGGGGATACGTGTGTGGGCGGATGAAAGTGAAGAAGGGGATGGGGAGGGAGGGGATAGGGTAGTGGAGGCAGGGGATGGGTTGGGAAGGGGGGGAGGGGCCGCTCGGGACGAGGTGAGCAGCATTGTTGTAAACCCCTACACCGCCCTCACACTCACGCACAGGCACGCGCAAGCCGACCGCAGCTCGTTCGCACTGGTTAAAACCCACCAAACCCTTCCCTCCCTCCGTCCCGAACAATCACCCCTCGAGGCGAGAGACGCCAGGAGAGAGAGGGAGAACGCTAATGAGCCAACATCGAGCGTAGCCTGTGATGTAAGCGGCGTGCCGAGAGCTCACGTGCTCACGTTCACAGTTCCGCCGTCAATACGCGACGGACACTGTTGACTTCCTGTACGAAGTGGTACTTTATCGACCGCGGAGGTGTAAGGGTTGGAGAAGGAAGGATGATGATGATGATGGGCTGTGAGGACCTCGATATTAACTCGGCACGGTTCAAATAATTACAGCAGCATTATTCACAATCATCATCGTCCTCGTCATCAGCCAAGATTAATCCACTGCTGGATTAAGGCATCCCTTGTCGAGGGCAACATTGGCGTGGGTTGCTTGATCATACTTCACCACGGTGGTCAAGTGCGAGTTCGGTAAAGATGAAGTTATCCCAAAACTGGTTCGTGAAATTCTGCATCATAATCATCGGAGGGCAATCCACTGCTGGATATCGGGCTGCCAACACGGTTGTTTGCCAATGTCCCACGGTTCTGCCACGTAATCATCCGTGCACAGGGATTTATTTTTCGATTTAAAGCTTTCGTGACTACAGGGATTCATCTTCTTGGTTCTTTCGGTAAATTCTCACGACGTTTCGGCCACAACGCAAGGACGGCTGCTTGCGTTGTGGCCGAAACGTCGTGAGAATTGTATTTTATTATGTTTTATTTTTATTATTTTATTATTTCCCATCTACGTGACTTTACCGAAAGAACCAAGAAGAGGGATATATTTCATCACTCCATCTCCACTGCGGCTGTAAGCTCGGGTGCGTTCCCTCCTCTGGCTACCACTCCGTTCTTAGTCTCGACCGCCAACCATCATCTGGCCATCATCATCATTACACTAGCAACATACCCGGGTGGAGCGGTGGCGCAGTGGTGAGCGCATTTCACAAAAGAACCTGAGTTTGACACCCGACCCACGCGGCGGTTAATATCAGTGCCGAGCGACATCTAAACCGGTGCTGAGTCCAACAACTCAATCAGCACCCACTGACCAGCGTGGTGAAGTATTGTCAATCATTGCAGGATCCAGTAAACACAAGATACTCAGCGAGACAACACGTAAATATTACGTATGGGGGGGGGGGGGGAGATTTTCGACTGCACTATTGCTGCGGCATCTGGCATAAGGAAGGAAGTGATGGTGCGGTTTTGTACACGGCACCGACCGTTATAAACTCTTGAACTTGAGTGCAATCTCCGGCCACCACAAGCCACGCAAAGGGGGTTGTGGAGAGGGGGGGGGCACTGCTAATCATTAGGGGGTGGGGGGGGGTGACACGGGTACCCACACAACCTCTATAGAATCGCCACCGGCGATATGGCAGGGACATTAACACGAGAGGACCTCGTCTCTCTACGAAACAAACCCCCTTTTACACGATTTTATGTAACTCACGCTGTCTGTTGTCGTATCCTTAAAAAAATATTGTAACTCAATTTTTACCCACTTCCCAATGTGGTATCGACTGCAAACTTGGTATACTTATTTCATACTGATGATAATAATATATTATATCATAAAACATAAAATATATATTTTTAAACAATCTTTTTTACGGGTCTAATTGCCCACGCTCAACTCACGTTGCCTGTAAATCACCACTGGCCCTTACGTTGTGGCAAGCTGCGGGGCCATTTCCTGGAGTCGTGGAGTTCTGCCATTACGAGTACATTTCATTAAAGCGTGTTTTTTTTAAGTATTAAAATATATTTTTATGTTGACTTCCAACAAAGCGGGCCACCCATGTTTATCGAATCTGGCACGGGCGATGAGCTGCGTCAGAATTTAAATTCACGATGTGTGACCGCAATGTCGGTTTTCGGGTTCATTTACGCTATTTTGTGTGCTCGTCACCATCACCATAAACATTGTAACCTCGACTTACATTGGTTCCAAGTTCTGGCTTGCTATCGTCATCGTTTGCCCGAGTCGACTGGTAACGAAACTCGGACAATGGTAAAGAAACGGGAAACAACAGCTGTGAGTACGCACACGATGCACAGAGCGGTCGGTGAGCTTCTGCGAGCCACGCGAACAGAAAGAGGAACACGGACAGATAACGTGCGCATGTCAGTGGCATCACGCGCGCGCCGTTCAGAAAGTTAAGTCAAAGCGTTTGTCAAGAACACTGCCCTAAATGGCAAGGACAAAAATATACATATAGCTAGCAGGAGACGTTTCTGAAAATGTCACTTCTTCATTCAATAAGGGAGGGCTGTGCAAGAAGTATCATTGTCGGAAATGTTGCCTGTTTTAAATATATACAAAAGAAGACAAAGATCCCCCCGTATAGCACCTCCGATTAACACGGTTGGCTACGTACGGTGCGAAAGAAGTTCGACACACAAACAGTACATACATAGCCTTCACAGACACTTGGGGCAAGGGCTGTTAGGGAGTAGCACCTATGAAGGCTGGCACGGCACACGAGGGGCTGGGGGGGAGGTGACCAGCACCATACACACTCGTGGCATTTACTAACATGTTGAGTTCGTTGCCCGTTACCCGTGCTTACGCACCGCGGCCAAAGCAGTATCAATCAAAACAATAACAAACATTGTTTCAAAGAAAACTTAGCGGACTCGGGCAGGCCACGTCATGACTAGAAGGGATGGCGCGCCGCTGGTCGAGCCAAACGACGGAGTGGCAGCCAAAGTCAGGAAGGTAGGTGGGGGGCAACGCGTCCCGAGATGACGAACACCGTGGAGATGGCAGCGATGTAATCAGCTCGTGTGAAGGCGCGAGATTGGAAACGTTCCATGTGGCGAACACTGAGAGATGGCGGTGGATTGGGGAAAGCCTCGTCCAGAAGTGGAGAGATTCTTGGCTGATGATTGTCGATAATGTTATCGCATTGCCTTCGTGTTTTAGTCGTTTACACGTGGCTGACTGGCTTTAGGTATAAGCAATGTCTTGTGGTCAGTGTTTAATGTCAGCTGGTAGAGTCCGGAACGCTGTTACCGGGAATGAATTTCGCACGCCACATCCATCTCGCATAATTAATGAACTAAGCTATAAATTAAACTTTTATTTCTTTTACCAGGTAAAGCCCACTGAGCTATATAGCTCTTTTTCAGACGCGACCTGGCCACAAATTATAGCCAAAAACAGGACTCTAAATGCACGTTTCTAAATGTGTAGGGAAAACCCGGAGGACCCAGATAAAAATACACGCGACTACGGGGACAAAGACATGCAAACTCCAAATACTGTATACAGCAGGAGTCAGGGTCGGGATCGAACCCACGACCTCCTGTATACCACGCGAGGTAGTTAACATCTCGCCACCGCAGCACCCAAAATCAGCCAATTCCTCGAGTAAATCACGCGACCGCTGTGTGGCCACCCCACTGTGAACCCTGCTGAGACAGACGCCGAACCGGGCAGCTCACCCTCGGTTCCTCCTTCCTCGTCTCTCCCCTCCCGTCCCCAAAAATCTTGGCCCGGTCACCATTCTCCCCCTGCTCCCATTCCTGCCCGGCGATCCATCTTCATCCTAGTCTTTCCCAACCCTCTGCTCCAGTTGTTCAATTCTTTGTCCACGCGTTCCCTCGTATTTCTAATAATTTTCCCCGCTTCGTTTTAGTTTTGTCCATACATCATTAACATCGTTAACATCCTTAACTCTACTCCCCCTTCCCGTAGTATTCCACGGGTAGTTTCATTGAGTACCATAATAATATCAGATTGTGGACAGGTGTATTATATGCCCTGTCCTCTAGCAGTAGTCGTAGTGCCTAATGCCGACAATCCCTACTCAAATCCAGCCAAGCAGCGTTCCGGAAAACACCGAGTGAGGAATGTAAGGCGTAACTTCTTGTGGTGATTCTTGTGCCCTTCGGCCCATGGTGTTAATTTCTAGACAAAGATCTCCCGTATAGCCTTAACACACTGTTGGGGCAAGTGCTGTTAGCGAGCACCTATGAAGGCTGGCACGGCACACGAGGGGGTGGGTGACCAGCACCACGCCGCCTTTGTCTCCCCAGTGGCGATGTTTAAACACACCGCAACCGGGTACTCATTTGAGGCTGAGTCGACCTTGGAGAGGGCCAGGACCGGTTCAGATAAGCCTCACTGGTGGTGGCCGTGAGCGGGAATCGAACCGGGGCTCGCAAAGGTCCGTAGCTCAGCGAGACAACTCACTCGCTTGGCCTTTTGATCTCTCGGCCCGATCCACGTCACTCACTTCGGGGCGAGTTCACGTGGTGGTGGGGGTCCTGAATAATTCATCAGAGGACCATTCTGCTTCAGTTGTACACAGCGATCGTCGTCGTCATCATCATCAGCAGCAGCAGCCGTGGTCTATATCCACTGCTGGATGAGCACCCCACGCAATCGTCACGAGTAGCAAGCAGCAGGAATGACGGTCCATGATCTATTCACTGCTGGATTCTCAGAGAGCCTCCCCCATTGCTATCACGGTCAGCCATAATCTCTCCACTGCTGGATGAAGGACTCCCACTACGCCTTCACATTCATCATCAGCAGCAGCAGCCAGTGTCTATTCAATGCTGGATGGATGCCTCCACGTGACGTAAGGGGCCGTCCATAAATGACGTCACGCGATTTTGGACGATTTATGACCCCCATCCCCCTCGTCACACGGCGTCACAAAAAGTCAGACCCCCCCCCCCCCTCAAATATGACATCACAAAGCTCTGCCCCCCCAAATAGAACATGCTTCAAATCTCTTTAAACTATTGTCATTGTAGTGCGTATTAATGTGCCGCTGCACTCTGATGTTGTAGGAGAAAACATTTATTAAAAAGTCTATTTAAATAAATTGAACGTGTTTGTCTATATTTATTTAAAGTTGCGCATTTTGATGTGACGTCACATCTCTCAACCCCCCACCCCCCCCCCCCCTAGGTCCGTGATGTCATTGATGTTCGGCCCCCTAATCACAATCATCACTACCAGCCGTGGTCTATCCACTGCTAGATGAAAGCCTCTCCACGGCGGTCACGGCGCGACAACTCCACCACCCTCCTGGCGCCATGAACAGCGATCTCGTGGCGTTCGTCCTCTTTCTCTGGCTGTGCCATTCCGCGCCCAGCGTCTTCTCCTTCTAACCACGACACATCCTTCCACGAGTGCCACTCCGCGTCTCTTACTAAAGCGTCCCCCACACCACCCCCACCACCACCGTTGTGTAAACTTGAGCTGTAACGCGCCTCGCATTTGAAACCGAAACTAACTTTACGCGCGGGGGCGAGACATAAAACGACTGCGTGTTCATTTATCAAGGTGTGGCCAATTTACCACGTGTCAACCAGACAGACAGACGACGATGATGTTGATGATGATGGAGGCTCAACACAGGAGCTGTGAGACACGGGGGGGGGGTAAGGGGGGGGCCCACAGACCACGGAGTGGCGAAGTAAAACATTTCCTCTCCGGCGAGCAGCAGCTTCAACAATCCGCCGGAAGGAACGACCCGTCGCCTGTACGTCACCGCCACTTGCTGTGGATACGGAAAAGCCCCCCCCCATCACCCCACCCCACCATCACCACCGAACGACAACGACTCCTTATATGGGCATGTACGTCAGAGGAACTTTCCTCTCTCACACACACACAACATGGCCGTACCATTATCGCTTTCGAAACAGGGGGGGGGGGGTGGGATGTGTCTGTGTGAAGACGCGAATCTCCAAACGACGCGTCCGCTTTGTGCTCCCCTGCACCGTGGGGGATACACCAATCGCGCCGTAATTTCGTTGAAGTTCGAAGCGTTCAGGATGGACATGGTCGGCGCGAGCAAAGCCGCTTGGTTCTGGACGCGTTTTCTCACTTTCGCTGAAACACCCCCGCCGCTGTTGGTACAGCCCGGACTCGTCTGACGTCATCGCACGCCAACCTCCCTTGACCCCGCCCAGCGCCCCCCCCCCCTTCACCACCCAGAGCCTCCTATATAAGAGACGCGCGGTCGCTTCCAACTCACTCGGTGCACGAGAGACGTTCTTTGCTTAGTCTTTGCTTAGTTGCGTTGTGGTGTCGTGAACGGGCCCTGTCTTTCACAGGCGGAGGAGCAGTGGGGGGTGAGGAGCTGATTTGTCCGGGTTAGAGCTCGTAAGTGCCCCAACCACACTCTCCCCGCATCAAGTGATTCGAATTTTCTGAGCCAGAATCAGCAACAGGGAGTGGGGGGAGGGGAGTTAATAGCAGACAACCAAGCCAGCAAAACACACGCAAGGCAACCTTTGCCGGGCACGCGTGAGACGGCAAGTTTTGTTTTGAGTTGCGCTGGGGAATGTACCAGGGGTCGAGCTGAAGTTTCTGGACCCACTTCAAGCAACAGAGACTCGAGGCAGCAGGGCACGGATGAGCATCGATACCCTTCGGCGGTCGGAATGGGTGGTCCCAATGTTGTCATCACGAGCCGGGTAAGACGTCTTTGAGATCTCGGTTCAGTGGTCGTCTTTTTTTATTCTTCTTATTCTGTCTCCAGGTCGTCGGTGTTTCTGTACTCGAACTTGTGTGTGTGTGTGTATACTACAAGCACGTCTTGTCTGTATGCTACGAAGAGAAGGGTCGTTACCCGAAACGTCGCCCGTTGTATACTGTTTTAATGTGTCGGGGCAGTGTTATTGAATAGTGTTTGGGGGTTTTTGTTGTTGTTGTTGTTGGTTGTAGGTGCCACTGCCAAGCGCAGTATCAGCAACAAAACGTGTTCAGTTCGTGATGTAAGATATAGTCGGATGAGGCGGCCTTCATCCAGCAGTGGATTTACCATGGCTGATGATGATATTAGTGGTGATGAATGGTAGTGGATGTGTAACGCTTCCCGTAACTGACTGAAATCGTAAAAAAAACATCAACGCAGAACTCGCTACCTTAAAATAGACGTGCATCGTAGGCTAACGTTTCGGGCGATGGGCCTTATTTAGCGCCAGGAGATGCGCCGCATTAGCATGACTCATTGTGTCACTCGCAATGCTCTTAAATACACTCGTCACGTCAGCAGTTGCCGGAGGGCTCTCTTAATCGCAGCTTCAAACAAACTTTGTTTATAACCTAAGGTGTCGTCTAACTCATGTCAAAACACACACAACACACGCGCACGTTATATAACGTTAGATGGGTGGGATGCTCGCTTGGCAGAGGCGACTACCACTAAACGTTTAACTAACTCCTCTGCGAGAGGCTTTTCCTACTTATGTCGGGTGTCACTTTAAAAAAGACACTCAAGTGGTTTCGCTTTATCGGCCACGTCGCGGAGTGATGATGGTGTGTTTTCCTCGTAGCTTTGTTTACACACAGTATCTCCCTCTCTCTCTGCTGCTGCTGACCCAGTGCCACTCAAGCTTTGCGCATAGTTGGAACATGCTCGAAGTCGCGGCCGCCGATGTTTTCTGTGCTGTTGCTATTTCACTTGCGAGAAAACCCCCACGGCACCCAAGTTGAATCGTTCTCCCGCGGCAGAGGGACGAGCTCTCGCCAGCTTTTAAAACACCGCGCTCACCGTTTCACGACAGTACTGGCAGTCACCACCACCACCGCCAATACTCATCACCGAGCGCAGTGAATTCGCTCGGCAGTTTTGGGGGGGGGGGGGTCTTCCTACCCCCTCCTCTTAGAGACACTCACTCGCTCATCGATAATTTAGGAATCGCCCACAGTGCGACCACTGCTACCACGGGTCCTGTCATTTAAGTTTTGAGTGTTTATGTGACTGATGGAAGCCTCTCTGCACGTCTGTGGGTCTATGTGTGTGTGTCGATGGGTCGATACGTAAATTAATGGGCATCTATGTGATTTTATGGGTGTCTGTGCGTCTATGGGTCTATCTGTGTGTCGATGGGTCTCTATTGTGTTTCGATGGGTCCGTGTGTACGTCGATGAGCGTATACGTGAGTTTACGTCGATGGGTATCTGTGTGTGTGTGTCATGGGTCTCTATGCGTGTCGATGGATCGCTGTGTAACGATGGGTATTTGTCCATGTGTTAACTCGCCCTCCCGTACAATAGCGAGAATATCCCTGCAATAACGGTTACCCCCCCCTTCTCTCTTTCTCTCTGCTTTTCTCTTAGGGTTTCAGCAGCAGTGGCAGTGGCGACGCTGGCGCTTCTGGCTGGGCGCCCAGCAGCGGGAGTCGTAGGGGTGCACCCCCTTACAGCCGGACCGGGAGGCGTGGGGGGCGGCCATCCAGGGATGAGATGGTAAGAGCGACTGATGTGCACGTGCTGCACGCATACAACTTGAAATGTTCACGACCGAGTCGGTCGTTCATTTCTTTAATTCAATGTGGGGTTTTTATTTTAGTAAAAACTCACCCCCACCAAAGAGGATGTCGCAATAGTTGACAGTGTAAATACAACTAAGGTAGTCGTAGCTATAAAATGAAGACGCATACAAAAAAATATCAAAATGAGAGGATGTATTCAAGGAAAAGCTAAAATGAAAAAATGAGTCTTGCAGAGTTTTCCTGAACTGTTCAGTGCAATGCCTCGACTGATCGATTTCACGTCGATTGTAAGAGTCCTTTATGCCGGTTTCTTCAGTTGGTATGTGGCGTAACCCCGACGGTGCAGCCTCTGGAGACCGCTAAATTCACGAAGGCGTTTTTATTTGAATCGCGATGTCCAGCACGCTCCTTTTGACTCTTGTCGTTTGCCGTTAGCCGTGGCCTCGGAGTCGAACCCAGATGGACGGGTTCGTACTTCGTAGCGGGGTGCGCTAACCACTACGCCAACGCTCCCCATAGCAAACGCACACCTTCACACCTTCACACAAACATACGCAGCTACATGCATACAGTACAAAAGACAAAGATATCCCATATAGCCTTGAACAAACTGCTGGGGCAAGTGCTGTTAGCAAGTAAAACCTACGAACTCGAGCGCAGTACACAGAGGCGGGGGTGGTTTGCCACGCCTTTGTCTCCCCAGTGCTCCTATTTAGACACTGCTCATTTTAGGCTGAGTCGACCTAAGGGGTGGGCCAACACCGGTTCAGATATTCAACACCGTACACATAACGTGACATGGGCATTAAAGTACAGAGGAGGGGCACCTTTTATTGCTGTAACCGCATCCTGGGCATGCGAGGCACGCTTGTGTACAAAACGTAACCCAGCCAGCCGTCACAGAGCCCCGTTTATTAGATCCGCAGATCAAACTGGATCGCCTGCTTGCTCCGACTTATTGTTTGACATCGCAAACAAACAAACACCGTGCCGTATACGACGCGGCGGTCGTGAATGGTCGTGAATGTAGAAGCGCCGCTGCTGTGCAACCGGTTAGTCATGCAGCGAGCCGTGGGCACGCTGGTAGCCCTGCGATCAACAGGAACTGTCGTGGGTAGATGGTGCCGCTTACACACGCGTTCGTACCCGCGCCTCCGATTAGCACGGTCGGCTACGTACGGTGCGAAAGAAGTTCAACGTGCGTACGTACATTGTACGGCGACGTGGTCCATCGGTAGCGTGTTCGCCCGCTTGTTGCAGAGGTTCGCGGTTCGAATCCAGCCCTGGTTAATACTGCGGTTGCACATCAACGTGCCGGCACGTTTCCACCACCGCGTCGGTTTTCGCCGCTGTGCCGTACGGCTGTCCGTCACGCATATCCGAAATGTCTGGCACTGTGTCGGACGTTTTGTCTGACGTTTCGATCTCCACATGCTGGGAGATTCTCCCAGGGTTTGAATTCTGGCAGACACGTGGAACGGAATGTTGGACGATATGCGGCACAGTCGAAAAACACATCGCTGTGGATTTAATTGTCCATCTATTGTGGACTAAGAAGGGTCGATGGGGAAACAGGACTGGGACCTGACATAGGATGAACTGGTTCAGCCGTCAATGGCTGGGTCTCAGACCAAAGGCTTTTTCGATCGCTCTTTGTATTCATGTCTTGGCAGTAAATAAATAAATAAAACGTTTCTTTCCTGTAGTACATTGATGGAAGAGTCCATGGTGGTCTGACAGTCATCACAGCAACCTGTGTGAAGCCAAACCCATTTATGTCACTGTCTTGACAAATAAATACAATTTATCCGTCGTTATTGTTGTTGCAAATCAGCCAGTTGTGGCAGAGCTCTGTTTTGGCCACTTCCCTGGCCAAAACTTGTCAAGCCGCTCGACCATTCGACATTTTCCAACTGCCAACCGCCGAGCGGGACGTCGAGGTTTCGATCCGGGTCGTTGAAATCGACCTCGGTCAACGTGGCCCCAGCTGAAATCGTTCGCTAACCCCCGCCGCGTCGTCTGTCTCTCTCTCCCTTCTCACGCAGCTCAACCCGGAGGAGGAGGAGAGGAGGATTGTTCGTCGGGAACGCAACCGGCAGGCCGCTGCCAAGTGTCGGAACCGGCGACGGGAACTCACGGACCAGCTGGAGGAGGTGAGGAGGAGGTCTCTGCTGCTCGTAGCGTAGGCTGCCACTGCGGCCTTTGTTGTTGAAGGCCTGGGGCCTCTCTCTGTCTCCCTCGTGCTCATTTAAGACCGAGTCAACCTAGTTGAGGCACAGGTCAGATTGATGTCCCAATCGAATCCGACGTTGTGTGTGTCGGTTAGTATCGTAGAGCAGTGTGCGAAGGGAGGAGTCCTTGAAAGAATAGTCTTTATTTGCGTTACACGTTACAGAATCAGAATATTTATACAGTTGGGGCGGGTCAGAACGTTATGACAACAAATATTACAAAAACACCATCGGAGTGCCAAATATAGGTATGGTAAACAAATCACACTATAAATGTATGTACAAATAAAACGAAACTCGTTTTTTATCTTGCCATGTGAAGCCCATTGCCCTATCAACTTCGTTTTCAGAAGCCACCTGGCCACAAATCATAGCTCAACGAAATTGACTCATCATAATTAAAATGTATAGTAGCCAAATACTCTAAATAATGCAAGTGCTGGGGCAGGAAAGAGATTGCAAAACCCTAACCTGGACTCGCCCCCACCTTCGTTTTCCCCACAGGAGACGGCCGAACTCCTTCAGCAGCAGGAGCTGATCAAGTCCGAGGTGGACAACCTGCGCAGGGTGAAGGACCAGCTGGAGCTCGTCCTCGCGACACACGAGCCCTCGTGCATGCTCGTGCCGTCACGGGACGACCAGAACGTTCCCTCGTCATCCCCCTCCTACCTGGCAGCGACCGCCTCCTCGTCAATGTCCTCGTCGTCGGCATCTTCTGCGGCGGTGGTGGAGGCGATGGCAGTGGCACCTTTGGCCACCGTCCCCCAAGTCCCATCGATAACGGTGACATCATCGACATCGTCATCGTCGCTGCTGCCACCGCCCATCCCCTACTCCTTCGACGGGGCGTTCGCGACTCGGGCTGGCGGTGTGGCCACCACGCAACGCCAGCAGCAGCAGCTGCGACTGCCCACGTCCTACATGGACGCGACGGCCAGCGAATTCGCAGCCTTCCCCGACCTGCTCGAGTGCCTCAACACGCCGGTGGTGACCACCACGCCGGGCGGGGGGGGGCCCCCCTCGCTCATGTTCACCTACCCCAGCGTGGCCGGGCCCGAGATGCAGACGGCTACCACCACGGCCGCCTCCACCGCCACCGCCACCACCACCGGCACGTCGTGCTCGACCGCCTCCACCAGCTGCGGCTGGGCCCAGCGGCTGAGCAGCAGCAGCAGCAGCACCGACCTGGACGTGCTGCTGTCCCCCACGCTGCTGTCCCTCTGAGAAGAAGAGTGACGCGTGTGCGTGTACGTCTGTGTGCTTGCTGTCCACGTTGTGGGGAGTGGTAGCGCAGCGGTTAGCGCGCTGCGCTACGAACCCGGCGACCCGAGTTCGATTCCCACTCACGGATAATCGACACCGGTGACGATTATCTGAACTAGTCCTGGGCCTCCTCCCCAAGGTCGACTCGGCCTCAAATGAGGACCTGGTGCGGTGTGTAAACAACGCCACTGGGGAGACAAAGGCGGCCGGGCGTGGTGTTGGTCACCCACTCCCTTGTTTACCGTGCCGGCCTTCATAGGTGCTCATGAACAGCACTTGCCCCAACAGTGTGTTAAGGCTATAGGGGGGATCTATACGGGGCATTGTTGTCTTTGTTTGCCCACGTGTATCTGTCCCGTGGCCTTAAAGTGCACATGGCTTGGCACAAGCACTTAGTGGCAAACGGCGGTTGTTGTTGTCCACGTGGGCCATCTTAATTTGTGTACGATAACATCGACGAGGCGTACGGCGTTTGCGAGGTGTGCTCTTGGACAGCGTAAAAAAAAATCTTGATCGTCGTTCTTGCCATCGTAGTTTCCGCCGTGCTGATGGAATTGTCGTTGTTGGCGTTTCGCTCACCGGGCTGCGGGGAGCTTCAGTAGCAATGTGTGCGCAGGGCGTTAACGTGGTGGAGACGATGGCAGCTTTCCATTCGAGCTGCTTGCTCGGCTTTCGCAACATGTTTCGTTTAGTTGTACAAGTTGGAGCGTCGTGAAAATGTGAATTTCCCAAAACTTTTTTATTTCTTTCTTACATTGGACACTTAGTTAAGACGACGCTCCTGATATTTCTGCCAGCGCTCGAGGTTGTTTGTTGGCGGAGTGTTGCTCTTCAGATCCCCTGCACCGTCGTGGGGGTCCCAGCGCAGTTGCACCGCCTGCGCACTCTGTTGGGCTACGCCGCCATTGGCGATGATGCCGACGGAGGGTGTGTTCGTGATGGTGTTGCATTTTATTTATTTCGGCACGTTTGTCGTTCGTGCGCTGTATGCTGCCAGGTGCTGCTCGCGACGGTGCCTGTCGGTTTGTGTTCGAGCCTCGGTAGTTAATCGTTTGTGCTGAGCGCGCCTGTATTATCTTGGACTTGCAGTTACCTGCGTGGGCTCATGTACCTGCGTATTTCTGGAGAGCTACCACCCGTAATATTTGAGTAACGGCAGCGCAATGCCTGCAGATATTTTACAGAGATTTTTATATTACCCCCCCCCCCTCATCACCCCCCCCCCCCCCCCCCAGAAAAAACTACTCTAAGCCAAAGATTTATTGCAGCTTGTTAGTATATATATGAAATATATATGTGCACGTGAACTTTATCAAAGAAAATAATATATTAGACTTAAGAGAGAATATAAATTATATTTGAAAGGAAAGGATTTTACGTATACTATTTTATTATGCTACTGGTTGGCACATAGTGTTGAACACTATTTGCCGCATGCTGTGATTACTGAAACCCGTGGAGAAAGAAAAAGGCCCTTTTGTCACGGGTTTGTCTTTAAGAGGCGACTGTCGGGACTGGCTGGAACCATTCGCGTTAAATGGCACATGGCAATTTGCCCCCCAAAGTTATCAGTTTGGCGAAAGGTGCAGGGGAGGGGGGGGGTGGATGCAATAAGATAACGAGTGAAGGGTGAACCAAACTCTTTTAAAAAAAAAAGGGGGGGGCGCTTGGTTAGAGGCTGGGATGGGGGCATTAATTGGAGATTGATTTTAGCCGGAAACTTTGACCCGGATAATGCATCCAGACCCGCAACACCATATCCAGTATGAACCCCTCACTGTGGCTACGAGCTACGTGCCACCAACTCTCAAAATCTGTTGCCAGCGACTTGGAAAATATTTGGTGAGAAATTTCAGGCCTGGTCGGAGATTCGTAAGTGTTTGGTTCACTGGTGTGGTTAGTGGAGGAGTTTCCTTCTGGATGGCGAGTTGGGTGGCAGTAGGTACCCAGGGATCTAGCAAATTATTTTGTTACTTGTCTCCTCCGCTTTAAGTATTGTATAGTGTTGCATCGAACTTGGACCCATTTCTGTCAGAGAGGGCCCTTGCTTTTTAAACATCAGGCAGTTCACGTACCTGTCAACCCCCTTATTAGTGCCTACCCTATTACAGACCTTATTGGTCACCCCGTGCCCTTATACATTTCAACGTTCATCCTACAAAGTGCCATCACGAGGGAGAAACCAATAGACCCGTAGTTAAACGGCTGTACGCTGTATGGACCTGATCTCAATTTCCCTGTACAAGAATGAAGGTAGACCGTATGGGTTGACAGGTATGAGTTCACCAGCATTTGGCTTATTTTGCTTATATTAAACCAATGCTGCTGAAAAGACGCACTCCCAACAGGGTTGTATGGCCAATGGGATGTAAAATATATATACACGAAGTACTTTAATATTTATTTCATGCGGAGAGGATATATGGTAATGAGATATGAAACGTCTGCCCAGTTATTTCAAAGCCTATGTCCTGGCCAATTTCAGTTGCCCACTCGCCCGCCTGCCCCGACGATGACCATTGGCCCCAAGTATCCATGCGAATTGCCGTGTGATCACGGGAGTTTCCTGTGTGCACCAACTGCCCCTACGATAAGTGACACCGACTGTAAGCTGTTGAGCGATGTAGCAGATGAGTCATTGCTAGCCCGCGTGTAGTTTACAATTGGCTCCGAGGCCAAGGCCAGTTGACACGGTATCGTGATCTATTTAATATATATTTTTGTGAGCATAAGCTTTCGTAAGAGTGAAGACATATATTTGAAGAAGAGCATTATTTTTGTACCACGTTATACGGATGTATAGTATTGTCTTCGTCTGATGAAATAAACAATGTTATTTGTAAAACTTTACCGGATGCCCCTGGTGTTTTTTTACCGTCATTGCCATAATGCTCGTCATTCCTCCAGGGTTTTTCATGCTGTGACATTCCACCAGTACCACAGGAACGTGAAGGCAGGATGTGATGATGATGGCGAGCATGATGATCATCTGCATCATTAAACACCTCCTTTGAAAGCTGCATCCCTGTGCCGGAGGAAGTGCTGATGATGGAGCCACTGGGAGGCATGTTCCAGTTACTAAAAGCCGAACTTGAATTTGACCAAGTAACGCCAACTGAGCTATTCGCATCTTTTTTTAGAAGCGACCTGGCCACAAATGATAGCTCAACGAAGTGGCTAGTAATTTGGAAATGTACAGCCGCCACGTACTCGAAACGCATGTTTCTGAAATGTGGAGGGGAAAACCGGAGGTCCCAGAGGAATGTTCACGCGACCACGGAGAGAGCCACGCAAACTCTAAATAAGCAGCAGGCGTCAGGTTCGGGATGGAACCCCCACGACCTTCTGTATCCCAGGCGAGGGAGTTAACATCTCCCTCAGGTGAGCACTTCATCACATTCCAGCACGGGGCATCGCCTGATAATGGGAAACCCCGGGGTGGACTTTGTAGCCTCGGGAACATAGGGTGGAGCGGTGGCGCAGTGGTTAACGCGCTGCATCCCCTGAATGCAGCGACCTGAGTTCAATTCCCGGTGACGACTAACGCCGGTAGTCGAGTCATATCTGAACCGTTCCTGAAAGTCCCCCCTTCAGTAACCAGCAATAAGCCAGGGCGGTGAAGTATGGTCAAAACAACCTACGTGACCAAACGGCATGGGGAGGTCTTCATCCAGCCGCGGATTCATCGAGGGACCGTACGACAATACAAAACATCCACCACGCGTGCCGACAAGTGGGTCAAAGGGCTTGCTTGGTTCGCGCTGGGGGAAAAAAAACTCTAAATCAAAACATGACTCGGCCAAAGGCAAGCTGCGTTGCGCAATCCTCGGGAGAGGCTGCGTCGTCGTCGGCTCCACGTGGCTTTTACGACGCGGTGGCCACGTGAAATAAACAAATAAATGAACAAACAAACGGATGCAGTTAATTTCCAATACCGTACAGGAAAGCATGGATGAATCAGTCTCAATTATATTGTTTCCATGAGCGTCCAGCATTGCGATGTTTGGACAGTTTCTTCCTTATAGAACAAGATTGTTTATTTACCCGCAGCGAAAGTTGAAAGAATGGGCCAAGTTTCCTGAATCTCTCCGCGTCTGTCCACCCGGCAGTTATAAATGGGCACAACCACGGTGACTCGATCGGCAGAACGCGTATGATGGTGGTGGTGGGGTAAAGTGTGGGTACCCCAAACGCGCGGAACAACGGGCCAAAAATACTCCCCAGAGCTCCGTCCCGAGTCGTACAATAACCGTGGTACGCCACTAAGCGACGGTGACGTCCCCACGGCGCTTGTGCCAAGCTAGGTGCACGCCTATAGGGTGAAGGCCCTTCCACCAGCAGTGCCGTCAGCAGGTGATTGCACTGCTGCTGCTTTAAAAGCTGCACCTTACATGAGTGGCGAGGAAAGCCTCACCGAGTCTCAAGATCCATTTTTTTCAGGAGGGACCTGCCACATTCGGATATTTGGCCAATTCCTCGCATTTTGGAGGAAACGCGACTTATCGTTATCATCATCAGCCATGGTCAATCTACTGCTGGACTAATGCCTCTCCACGCCGACTCAATCTCCCGCGATCATGCGATGTCCATGATTGACAAGCTATGGAGTCGATTTCATCGCTCCATCTCCAAACTGAAAATAATCTTTGGACGGCATTCCATCTCCTAGGCTGTCATTCCGCCGGTGTTCTTGTTTGTCGGCCCATCACCCGTTCCAGTGACGTGCCCTAACCCAAGCACACTCACTTCATTTCAATGATCTCATGAACCAGCGTAACACGTTCTCTATAATCCTGCGTGTTAAAACGCAAATCCCAACAGACGATCTGTACGTTTCGTTTTTGGTGACTTATACTCCCAATATTTTGCACTCATATCGGCTTTTGTATTGTCTGTTGTAACTTCCTGACCCGCCCTTGCTGGATATCTGTGAAAAATAGCTTCATAGCTCATCGGATTCCTCCAGGAATAAATATTCTGATTTTGATACACCCCATCGCGGGACATGGGGAGCGGATGATGTGAATATAACATTCAAAAGCTTCGAAACAGGGACACCACAATGTGCTCAAGAACCTACTTGCTGTACCGCCACAACTGTCAGCATGAGGCGGGTTTGGAAGTCAAACGCTCTTTGCATGATCCACCCACCACGCCTTCGAGAGAGATGGCTGCGTGATGAATCACGGGCATGCGCTGCTACCACGCCCGGATATTGAGATTCCAGATTTCTGCCGCTTACATCAGCGAGTGGGCAACGCAACGCAGCGGATTTGGGACGGTCGCAGCAACTTGTGACGCCGCGTACGTGGTTTTAACCACGTGACACGCGGAGGGTAAACAAGGACATCATAATCTTAAAAAAAAAATCTGAATCTATATTTAGACTGAAAGAATACGACGAGGCGATGCGCTCTTTTTCACGTGTCCAGGAGCACATTAAGGGGAAGTGAAACTTTCAGGGAGGTTGACAAGGGGCCATCCGTTTAGTACGTACGCATGGAGGGGGGAGGGGGGGTTAACCTAAATGCGTACACTTGCGTATGGGGGGTCTACTGGCAATGTCCGTACGCATAGGACACGGGGGGGGGGGGGGGTGAAGCCTCGATAATAATTTGTCTACATTGGACTTCGAATTAGTTAGATAGTCCGGCGGTGGACTATCTGCTTAAACACGTTAATATTATTAATCCTTGATTGTTTCCGCGTGGATTCAATATCGGTCGTTCTATAGGATTGCAGGCGTCGAACGCAGGTGGGGTGAGGGGTGTAAAAAGTCCGCGTGCGTACAGGGAGGAGGGGAGGGGTCAATTTTTGACAGATGTTTGCGTACCTACTCAATAGATGGCCCCCAAGAACGCAAGGTAGCATCGACAGAGAGCGGCACGCGTACAATGAAACCACATCAGCAAGACGAACGCGTGGATTAGAGATCCATACGGAGCTTTACAGAGATATATTTTAACACGTTTTATTATTTTAATAAATGTGACAAGAACACTTAAGGCCCTTAACGGAAACATAGCATTTGACGTTTCGGGCCATTGCCCTTCTTCATAGCACACGAGGTATAACATATCGGTCTTCGTCCAGCAGTGGATAGAGACCGTGATGGTAAAATCAATTGCAGAGGCGCGTGCTGGGGGATGTCACGGAGAGACGGGGGGAGGCGCTCAACTTGATGTTAACTCTAGATTTGAAGCTTTCGTGACTGCAAGTATTCATAGTCTTAGGTTTTTTCGGTAAAGTCACGTAGGTAAAACATTAAAATGAAAATTAATAAAAGTAAAATAAAAATGAAAATCACGACGTTTCGGAGGCAGGTGGAACCGTCACAGCAAGCGTGCTGTGACGGTTCCACCTGAAGACGGAAGCTTGTGTTGCCTCCGAAATGTCGTGATTTTTATTTAACTTTTATTCATTTTGATGTTAACTACCTCGCCTGGTATACAGTAAGTCAAGATGAATTCGATCCCGACCCTGACGCTGGCTGTATATTTGGAGTTCGCGTGTCTCTCTCTCTCTCTCTCCCCGTGATCGCGTGGAATTTTGTATCCGGCTACCCCGGTTTTTCCCCTCCACATTTAGAATCAACATCATGCGTCTGAGAGTATTTGGGTTGCTGCTATACATGTCCACGTGATAAGCCACTTCGTTGAGATGTTATTCTGTGGCCAGGTCGCTTCTGGAAACTGAGCTGCAACAGATCAAGTGGGGCCTTGCCTGTGGGGGAAAAAACCCCACATAGTTTAGTTTCGTGTTCATACCTGTCAGCCCATAATCAGTGCCCTACCTTATTAAAGACCTATTCAGACCGTATTGGTCACCCCGTGCCATTATAAATCCCCCCCCCCGTATTGAAACGGCTGTACGGACCTGAAAACTCAATATCCCCTGCACAAGAATATGGGGCCGTCCATAAATGACGTCACGCGATTTTGGAAGATTTTTGACCCCCCCCCCCCTCGTCACACGGCGTCACAAAAAGTCAGACCCCCCCCCTAAAATATGACGTCACAAAGCTCTGCCCCCCCCCCCCAAATAAAACATGTTTCAAATCGCTTTAAACTATTGTCATTGTAGTGCGTATTTAATGTGGCGCTGCACTCTGACGTGGTAGGAGAAAACATTTTAATAAAAAGTTTATATAATTAAGTAGAACGTGTTGTCTATATTTATTTAAAGTTGCGCATTTTGATGTGACGTCACATTTCTCACCCCCCCCCCCCCCTCGTCACAAATGTCTGATCCCCCCCCCCCCTAGGTGCGTGTGGTCATTTATGGACGACCCCTAAGTAACCCCGTATGGGTTTGACGGTGGCATTCGAATTTAATTCAAACATGCCTCTGACGAGCGCGCGATTCGATTCCTCGTGTCGCGATTATCGAGAGCGATTATCGGCTAAAGAATCGATTCGTCTGAGTGGAGGTCCCTCCAAATTCACAGGACGCAACAACTCCCGCAGCCCCTGCCGGACGCAGCCGTCGACCTCAATTGGCCGCAATGAGTGTAACGCACGCAACAAAAATACATCTATCGATACTTGAACCGATATCGTTGCATTCGATCGAGAAATCGATAGAATCGAGAAATCGTTTGAATCGCCGGGTTTCGCGAATCGTTTCGCCGACGGCGATGACGCTGGTGACAAGGCATTACAGTCAGTGTCTTGATGCGGATCTGCGTTACTGTACGCACGGTTGGACTTTTTTCGCGCCGTACGTAGCCAAAACCAACGCTCGCCGCATACCGTGTCAACCCCTACGAGTTTAGCCGTATTCTTGTGCAGGGAAATTGAGTAAAAAAATAAAATGTTTCGTCTATTTGTGTTTTTCCCCTTGCGATGGAT